GGAAGATGAGAACTGGCGACTTGGTAGTACAACTTTAGTACGCAGAGTAGCTGGGGAGTGGGAAGATGAGAACTGGTGAGTGGGTAGTAGCTGAGAACTGGCGACTTTGTAGTACAACCTTAGTATGCGGAGTAGCTGGGGAGCTGGAAGATGAGAACTGGCGACCTGGTAGTACAACTTTAGTACGCAGAGAAGCTGGGGACTGGGAAGATGAGAACCGATTGCAGCACGCCTCCACGTGTCGTATCTCTCTCAGTACACACATGCAGACACATGCAGACACCCACACATGCAGACACCCACGCACTGCCTCAACTTACACGAACACACACATACACAGACTCACATACACACGGACATAGACACACACACACACAGAAACCCACACACTACCTCAACCCCCTCAACTTAACACTTCACACTGCACACTTAACACATAACTCACACTCTGACATCCTACGTGATGACAAATGCTTTCGGGCCACTCGTCGTCTAGTTTCTACATGTGCAAGCCAGTGAGCCCGGGGACCCCATTTTGTGGCGCAAGGTCGGCAAGGTCCTAGTTGGGGCTTTGTGACGGTATTTGTGAGGGGTTTTGGCTTAGGCGAAGGTTAAAAACATGGTATTGGCGCCTGCAACCGACTGTGTAGACGTTTTCTGGAGCCTGAAGTTTCGGGCCAGTTACCGCATGCCTGTCCAGCGACCTGGGCACCGCCAAAATGCATGGTTGGACGTGTTTCATGAACTCCTCCTTGTTCAGTTTGCCATTTGTTCCATTTTGTTCCTTTAGTGTTCTTTTTTAGCCAAAACCAGATTCGATCACGTTGCTGGGCTCCCGACAAGCTGAACGATTTGAGGATAATGCACATCCCATCTTCCAATGCGCATGTGCAGTAACATCATTCTTAATTTTGAATGCACATCCAGACAAACATCATTATCCTGCCCAATAAACCCACCGAAATTATCCTCCGGCACGAAGCCATGTTATAGCTCCCCATTCCCGTAGCCGGCAACTCAAAAACAAAAAAAACGATGTTTTACATCGCACAGCCACCAACAACATGCAAAATCTTAACTACGCCCAGATTGCGCAAGGTTAGCCAACAAACGCTTCCACCCAGTCGTACCCCAATTCTGCAGAAAGAAGATTGTTTTAGATGCACGTTGAAGTTCAGAATCACAGCAGGGAAGGCCTCTAGCGAGCTTTGACCTATAGCACCTGAAGGTCAGCCCCCAAAATGTCATTCCACTTTGCATGTATAAGAATCTTTGGACTTCAAAACTTCAACAGTTTTGGGTTTCTCCAGTCCTGCAGAGTATCAGCTTGTGCAACATCTTAGGATTGGCAAAATGGAATGTGGCCAGTTTGTCGGCAAGATCAAGCCTGACAAGGTTTGCTGACCATATTGAGGTTTTGTGACACTTTCCTGTAGTTTGGTGGCTGACCGTGCTTTGTGTTGATTTGGCAGTGTGCCTTCAAAGTTTATCCTTTTCAGAATTTGTCGCGTGAGGGCAGTAAAAACATTTCTCCAGTTTGTGCAGGACGTTGAACGCTTGGCCAGAAAGTTCAAGCTCGATGACCACGTGACATCGCGCCTGACAGAACTGAAAGTTTGTAGGAGGACACAGCAAACTGGAGTCACTAGCTTTTGTTGATTCATGTTTATGGCGTGCCTTTTCAGTGACAAAAAGCAGTGCAAAGCAATGCAGAGCATTTGAGAGGAATAGCGGTCAAGAAGAGCGAGGTTTGAAGGAGAGTGGGACCTTGTGAACTGATTCCCCAAATCCACTACTCGTATCCTCAATTCAGGTCCTCGATGCAGTGTTTATCTCTGCTTGTCAGGATTGTTGTTTTTTTTCTCGCTCCTTCTTGCCCCTTCAATTCCTTCCCCTCAAGGCTTGGGGCAGGGAGGAAAGATAAGCATGTCACTTCACGCGAAAATGCACATGTCAGCGATAGTTAGAACATGCCACATTGCCAAAGACCCTGCTATGACAGGCGGTAAAACCGCCATCAACAAGAACAACCACCTCAAACTGGCCAGAGAGTGCAATCGGACACTCTCAGGTCAAGCCAACAAGTTGCAATGCCCTTAGACGCGTCATAAGGGCACGGTTTCTTGGAAAAGCTTTTCCAGCTTGCTGGTGGCAAGGTTGCCACCCTACATACCATTCTTTTGGGCTTCACCGGCGATGAAGAACACTATCAAGCCCCGACGCAGAGCACCTCATGATGAAAGCAAGTTGAAAAGGATTGCCAAGATGATAGAGTCAGTGATGCCATGATTTGCCCCCAACCCAAATGAATGACACGGTCACTTGACGTCAATGCCTTGATGGACATGACCATTAGAGGACGCCTTCGTACTAGTGCAATTACAATGTCATGAAAACACTGGCGTTTGCAACTTCCAAAAAGACGCGATGATGCATGTGCGATAAGAAGGAAGAAGAGGGGTATATATGTAATCAATATAGCTATTAGTGGGTGTCCACTTTGCTGTGGGGTGACCCCGTAGTGGGCCCACTTTGAGGTGCTCTACACAACTTGGCTCACCACGTTTGGCTTTTTTGCTTGCAGCCCCTTGAGATCATCCGTTCTTTTTGCGTTTTATATATTTTTTTCCTTTTCTGATTGATTGTACTATATACTACTCTTTTCCTTTGATCTGATGATCTTTGAATTAACTATTTAATTGTCTCTGCGGGCGAGCTGCAGGACCTTGACCGGCTTGAGCAGCATCTACGATATTGCAAGACGCCCAGAGCCGCCCAGGGCCTCACGAAGGTTGAGTTGAACAAGGAACTCAAGACACATCAATATTTTGTTTATCCACTTCTGAGAAGGGCAACATAGACAGATAATTGCAGATAGGCAGCCACACAGACAAATACAACTTGGCAGACAGGGACGGACCCGCCTGGAACTTGTGTGGAACCCGTGTTGCCTTTTTACAGAAGAAACACACTCGGGGAACATCTATATAGGTAGAAAAGGGGAGGGAGGCAACCTGTGAGCTTCATCACCTATCGCTTCGCTCAGGCAAGCGGCCAAATGCAATGGCGACCCTTCTGGCTGGAAAACTGCAATTTCCCAAGGGCAGCAATTCAGTTGTAGCTTGAATGAGACGGCAACAACTGCAAGTCCTTGCAAGGTTGGAGGGCGAGATAGCAGAGCTCCCAGATCTTGCAGAGGCTGAAAAAATCATGGAGAAGTACAAGCTGGACGAGGACTGGCGGGCACAGGTTGCAACACAGTGCTTTTTGTGCCTTGTCAACTTGTGGGAATTGTAGGATGCTCGGTCCAAGCTTCGTGAGATCGTTGAGAAAAGAGCCCATGACCAGGCCAGCCATGTGTTTAGGGCCACTGTTATGGCATTGTGGAGCTTTGCTTTTCTGCTTGTAATTGGAAGTGTCATTCTGTACACTTTAGGTGGATTTAAGTGGGGTGTTTGGCTTTGGATCAGTGTTTTTGGCGGTCTGCCTTTCTGTGTGTTCGCCTGTCTATTTGTTCGTTTGTCTGTCCGTCCGTTCTATTTTTGTTCCGCGTCTTCCTGCTCGCCCTTTGCTGCTTCTCTGTATCGGATTCGGTAAGGGACCAGTTTGTTTGGCGGCATTGCACTCTTTTGTTTGGGTCATTTGGGTCGTTTTTCGTTGTTTTACTCCAATGTGCGGATGTCGTTGTAGGTTGTGCTTGAAGGTTTTGGAGCCGTGGCCCTCTCGTGGAATTATGTACGTGGAAACGCTCTCGCTGCCGTGTGGCGCGATTTTTTTTGGTTCTAGTCTTGGTCTTGGGTTGCTGTGCCACGCGGTTGGCTGCTCCGCGGAACCGAGGTGAAGTGTTGTTTCGTTTTTATCTGTAGTGTTGGGCCAATCTACCGGTGTGAAGGAGGTTTGTAGATCTTGAAATGTATTCTGGCTGGTTTTGGTCGTGGTGATTGTTTGTGCCACGTCGCCATTAACAGCCAGTGCTTTAGATGCGTTTTACACACATCAGCACCCGGGAGATGAATGTTGTGGAACGCGTGGACAGCGTTCAACGTTCTGCTATAGTCCGTTCCCGGCCACCACCTTCGTTATCTCTCGAGAAACACATCCACATGAACGCTCTCTCGTCTCTCCCCTCTCTCTCTCTCTGTTTGTGTCTGAAGTGTGTGGGGTTATCCAGTCCCTTAATTTGTGGTGCTGTTCGAACCTGTCTGAATTCTCATCTTCTTTCTAGTGTGTGGCATGCTTGCCAGGAAGAGGTCCTCATAACTGTCAAGAAACACCTGGACACATCAACCTTTGCATCGTCAATGCTTTGTAAGATAGCAAGGACATGTGATGTGGATCACTTCCAAGTGTTGCTGTATGTACATCTGCTTGTGTTGCTTCAGGACCTTGATAGATGGCGAAAAGTTGGCAGACCCGCCTGAGAGGTGGATAGCTCACACTACGCAACCATTCTGACAAGAGTTCCCTGCTGGGTCTTGAATGACTCTGCCAAGCAGCTGCTAAGCAGGCACAGAGGAAAAGGTGGAGACGATGGAGGCAAAGGTGGCCGAGAGACTGACCGGCGTGATCGAGACAGGGATCGAGAACGACGCGCTGTCTGCTTAGTACAGACCCAAAGGCCGTGAAGTAAAAAAATTTTTCAGGATTTTCTTCTTTGCACACTCAATGACTGAGGATCGAAGCAAAGAGCGGAGTCGCGACCGTCGGGATCGAAGTCGTGACCGGAGAGATGGGTGATGGTTTGCAATTGTGCTTGCATCTCGAGTGAGCAGTGAGCAGTGCGAAAAAGGACAGCAAGTTAACATTAACATGGGGTAGCTTTTCACAAGCATTCGGGCCTTTGCCTTTGCTTTGGCGGATCAAGCATGGAACAATTGTGGATTGAAAAACCTTTGCGTTGGCAATGCACTACGCAGCACGCCTCCCATTTGATTTCTCGCTCTGCCGTGTGCAGGTTTGTACGACTTGGTCACTGGGCGAAAGCTGAGCACGCTGTTGCCTGAGAGCTGTGAGGACATCAAGCAATCTTTTAAGATCAATGAAAAGATGCACCGGGCACTTTAGTTGCTCAATAACAAAATTTGAGACACCCATCCGAAAACTTTGGATATTTCTCTACGGCATCCCCAAAAAAGGTTTCAACACAACCTCACCCTAACAGCCAAGTCTAAGTTTTTGCCATGTGAGCTGCTTTCCATTGCTTTTCAAAGCTCCACGTAAAGCATTAAACATTAAATAAAGACTCATGAAAGTAAGGTACCCTGGGGGCAAGGAAAATTGAGGAGCGCAAAAACTTGAAAGCCTTGTGTGTGAGAGAGTCCGGGTGCAAATCAATATTAGATGTGCGGGGGCTCCTTTATAGTTTCGAGTACTCTAATTCTCCGACTCCTATTAAAAGAGAAAGACTGTTTGAATCAAGCTGTCAGAAGTTGGAGGAATTGCCCCACGAAACCCATCAAAAGCCGCTTGTGAGATCGGCTGGAGATTTGCACTAAGACTAATCAATGCTCATACTGGCTGTGTGCTTTTGCCTCTTCATGGAACTGGCTGGCTAACATTAGCTCCAAAAGGTCTCCGAGGATGTCAGGTTGTCTCTGAGCATGTTGTCATGCCATCAGGTTGCCATGCTTGTATGCTGCGCGCTGTCATGCCGACATTCTAACATTTTGTCCCTTTGTCATACTAACTTGAAAGCATGCTGATGCGCCGCGCTGTTAGGAGCAAAAACGATAAGCTTTTTGGGTGCTGCTGGTTCTGCCAGAAAGTGTTGTTTTTTTGTTCTCCGTTGGTTCTGCATGCCACTGGGTGGAGGGCCTGGACAACCTTTAGGCCGTTGCACTCTTTTTTCATAGGGATAGTTATTGTTGCAAGAGCGGTAGCGTTCATGACCTGACATGCCCTTGACCTGCAGGGCCCTTGAGTCTGCTCAAAAAATGCGCGTGAGCAGCCGCGCTTTGTTTCCCCTAGAAAGCGTTGTGAATTCGCTTACCTGCATTGGTAGCGGAGCGGACCGATCCGCGTGGTTCGCTGCCGCCCATGCCGAGCGCTGCTGATGTGCTGGCGCAGATGGCTGCTGACGGAGATCATGGTGAAGCTGATCCCGATCAGCAGATGGAAGAAGGAGATGACAACTACGATGACGAGCCCAACCTCACGGACGACGACGTCTTGGTCGAGCAGGAGGATGAAGGTCAAGAAGCCCTCTACCAGCGTGTTGGCGCTGGGAGGCCTGGCCGCAATGGACCTCGCACTCCGGCGCGAGGCGATGGAGTTGAAGATCGAGGTAAAGATCGAGATGGTGGACCTTCGACCCCGTCTTCACAGAGATCGAAAGCCTCGACATCCCAGCCGGATGGGAACACTCGACATCGTCCCCGTGGGAACCTGCCCCCGGCGCCTGTCTTCGACGGTGACAGGAAAAAGGATCCCAAATGCTTCAATCATTGGGTACAAAAGGTGGACTCCTACATCGAGATCGCCAAGAAGATAATCGATGAGTCCGAGATCGGCTTGAGGCTACATGCAGCTCTTGAAGGAGAAGCTTCCGACTACCTGGAGGACATCCCGGCACGGACCTTCGGAGTCGACGAAGGCTGGAAGATCTTGATGCACGTCCTCAAGGACAAGTTTGATGAACGTCGCATGCGCAAGGTCGGCTCAGCTATGCAGGGCTTCTTCCGGATGAACCTGAAGGACAAGAGCTACACCCTCACGGAGATCGCCGATGGACAAGTCCGCCAGGCAGTGCCGAGAAGCTGGACTGGTCCTGCCCGACGAGATCATGACCTACTTCTTCTTCGAGCACAGCAACTCTTCAATGGAACGGCAGGCCAACATCTTGCTGAGGACTGGTGGCGAGTACACCTGGAGCAAGGTCAAGCAGGCCGTCGATTTGCTGTATCCTCAAACCTACGTGCACCAGCGCCGAGACAACCAGCAGTATCGGCAGGGCAAAGGAAGGACAGCGCGCGAGACGGGCACTTGGGAGGAGCCGCACAGTGCCGACACCACGAACATGGACATCGAGGACTGGCTTTACTACGAGGACCCGGTCGAGCGCCTTGCCGAGTCCGACTCCGTGGGCTATCTCCCCGAACCTCTTGCACGAGAACTTCATGAAGTGTTTGCCACCCACAGGGAGAATCGGGCCAAACTGGCACGAGCTGTGAAGGCCCGTGGTTTCTATACCAACAAGGGCAAAGGCAAGGGCAAGCCGCCCGGGAAGAAAGGAAAGAGTTCTGGAGCACTACACTCTCCCCAGAAAGGAGACAAAGGATCTCGCAAAGGAGGCAAAGGCAAAGCTCGTGGCGGCATGAGCTTGGACGAGCTGAAGAAGGTGACCGCATGCGGAGATTGTCAACAGCTCGGTCACTGGAAGGGAGATCCTCAATGCCCCAAGGCCACCAAGAAGGCCCACGAGACTCACACCATCGACCTCGACCCGGACGAGATCGTCGGCGAGGTCGATTCCTGGTGGGATGAGGACTACTGGGAGGCCCATGAGGTCTCGACTTGGGCGACGCAGCGACAGGAGTCGCCTGTGAAAAAGGTGGAGCCGACCAAGAACTCGAAGGATGCCGAGTCCGAGCTCTACGTTGGTCTGACGGTCGACGAGGCCGATGACGTGGTTCGTGGAATCAACCAGCTGAAGAGGAAGGTCGCCGACAGCCGTCCGCGATCTTCGAAGGACACAGCGCTGATCGACGCATCCAGAGGCGCTGACATCGAGGCCGACATCTTCGACCGGAAGAACGTCTATGACAAGAAGCCCCTGGACGTGTTCACGGCTACAGCCCTCATTCAGGAGAAGATCGAAGAGCGTAAGATGAAGGCCAAGACCACGGCACCGGAGGCCGTGGCGGAGGCGTATACACCACCTTGGGCGTCAAGACAGAGGCGAAGCCGACCTCTGTTTGGGACTGCCTGGAGAAGAAGACCACCTATGACCTGGACGAGCTCCGTGTGACCCACATGGTGCGCAACTGCCAACTACTTCCGGCAGAATGCCATGACCCAGGTCTTCAATATCTTCTACACGATCTTCTCCATGGAGAATGTCCTGACGGCGATCAGCGAGTCCCCCGAGACGTCTTCAGCAACACCCGACTGGCTCCGACAGTGCGGGAAGGCGTGGCCTATCTCACCATCGACACCGCCTGCGAGAACACCGTTGGCGGCAAGACACATTTGATGATGGTTGCACGGATCCTCGAGGCCAAGTACAAGGTCAAGCCCGTGATCCATCCCGAGGAAGAGTCCTACCGTTTTGGACCTGGAGAACCCCGTGTGTCCACCGAGAGGTGGCACGTGCCAATTGGCATTGGTGGAGTGCCGATGGTGATCAAGTCCTCCGCCTTGGAAGATGGCGACCCTGGCCAGAACAAGATCCCCTGGCTGGCCGGGCAGGGGCCACCAGGCAAAGTGCCGTCCCTTGAGGATTACTCTGGAGTCCTTTGGATGACGGGAAAAGCGTATATGGATGACCGCTCACCAAAAGAGACCCACATCTACAACCCCGAGGACGACCCTTATGCCACAGGTGACATCACCAGTCGGACACCCTGTACTCTACATGGTGATGTTTGGGAATACCTCCTGGAGCACCCTCAAGTATATGTACGGCACCATCATCGGCCCCGGACCACAAGATTCCATCCCCATGAAGTCGCTGACGGACCTGAACCAAGAGAACTTCTCCCACTCCGTGTGACATATAAACATGGGGTGGATGACTGGGAGACTTCAGTCGAGGAGGAGTCATGGACTGGGTACTACACTGTTTTGTTTGGACATGGTTGTGACCCCAGCATGAAGATCGACAACCTCCCGTCACCTGGTCCGCGAGCCGCTGTGTTGATCGACGTACATGGCCATCAAGTTGCAGTGCATCCACGTTCGTTGAAGCAGCTAGAACAGAAGAGGTTCCTTCGTTCGTTTGATTTGGACAACAAGCCACCTGACCTGCCACTCAACAAGCAGCCGAAGATCTTTCGACCTCAACTCGGAGAGTTCGGCTCAGACCAACCGCCGAGATCCCCTCACCATGCGCACGGCCCCCAGTTCCAAGCATCGAGCTGCGCTGTCTGGTGGTGGTCGAGAAGCAGATTGTGGCGACGAAGGCACTACGGGAGCTGGAACATCGTGCACCAGCCCTGATCGGGTACGCCAAAGCCCTGATTCAGGAGACATATCTCCTAGCCGAAGATCTCCCTCCGACTCTCCCGCCGGCATCGACGAATGCCAAGGGTCGCACAACCCACACGGCGATCAGCCTGACATACCCGGAGGAGCCCAGTCACTGCCCACATCTGGTGGAACATGGTCGACGCTATGGGAACGCGCACGGCAAGTTCCGGGAGTGCGTCAACTGTGGCAGCGTCTGGCGAGGGATCGACTACGTGGTCCCGATCTCCGAGGAAGTGGTGACGACCTACAAGATCTATGTGGGACTGTGTGCCAAACCAGGAGGCAAAGTGACGAAAGGAGCAACCACCCGGCTACCTCAAAGGGTTTCGTCGGCAGGCTACTCCTCATCCTCGTTTTCCTTGCCTCCCAGGTCTATGGAAGCAGCCTATGGCCGGAGCTGGGAGGACACTCAGAAGGCGCCTTTCAAGGCCAAGCCGAAGGCCCACCTGAAGGTCAAGCAGGAGCCCATCGAGATCACCGAGTGGGACGACCAGAGCATGGTGGAGATCACCTCGGAGGAGGAGCTGGTGCAGGAACCGGTACTCAGAACGAGTGGCCGCATGCCGGGCCGCACATGAACTCAGGCCCCAGCGGCAAGACCAAGACCAAGCTGAAGTCTGGCCAGCAGAAGAAGATGCAGCATATGGCTCGGCAAGCCCTTTTTAACTCCAAGCTGCACAAGGACCTCATACAACGACGACTCCAACGAGGACGCTGGCCCCGCAAGCACTTCAAGTTCGACTTGATCGAGGTGTTTGGCGGGACTTCAATGGTGAGTATAAGGGGTGCCACTCTCTGGCGCCTC